TATATATATAAAATTGTTCATGTACAAGGACTTAAAAGGTATTTCATAGGTTAAAACAGATCCCCAAGGACAGCCAAAATCCTGTCAGTGTAAAAACAAAAGGTTGTAAAGACACTGACTACATAGTGTCCAATAACTTTGGGCCTGTAGATAGAGCCAGGTATTTTATTTTTATTTATTTATTTATTTTTCAGAACCGGGGATTGAACTCAGATCCTTGCGTTTGCCAGTCAAGCGCTTATCCTACTGAGCCATCTCCCCGGCCCCGAGTCAGGTATTTTATTTGTGACATAAAACTCAGAGCCACAGTTTGGTCTGCCTCCTATGTCATTTCCTCTCTGGAAGGCTTTTCTGCCTTCTTGTTCTTTCTTTTTTTTTGTCTTGTTTTTTGGTGGAACCAAGACTTGAGCTCAGGCCCTTGTGCTTGCCAGGCAAGTGCTTATTCTACTGAGCCATCTCCCTGGCCTTTTGAGCCACATTGTTAAAAGACAAAAATCCCTTGGAGTGCCCCCCACTTTCAATGGGGGCCATATCCACAACCCTGAATGGGACATTGGTTTAATCTGACCGAATGCTGTGTATTTCATGATAAGTGTATAAGTTAGCCTGGTTGATCTCTGATGTAACTCAAGTATTTCATGCTCATAGTTAATACAGGTGTGACGCCTCTTAACTAAAGCTAGCATGACTTATAGTACACTGTCAGACTCCATAAATAAAGGGGTCTAAAATCCATTTGGGTTACAGTTGCTAGTCCTGGGGCCAGGGAGATAGCTCAGTAGAATAAGTACTTGCCTGGCAAGCTCAAGGGCCTGAGTTCAATCCCCAGTTCCGCCAAAAAAAAAAAAAAAAAAAAAGAAAGAAAGAAAGAAAAAGAAAAAGTTTCAGATTGATAACATCAGGAGTCTTCCCCTTTGAGCCTCAAGGAATCCATGTTAACTGGCAATGCAAGGAAAAAGCCTGTTAGATGTTATTATGGTTTGTGTCTAGGTGTCCCCCAAAGCCTCGTGCAGTCTTGGGGGGGCTTCTGGAGTTTGTGATTGATCACTGTGGGTGTGGATGCTGCCCCTGCCCTGGGCAGGTGATTTGCATTACAATGTAAGGTGGGAAGAGCAGCCAGCTGCCTGAGCTGCTGCTACCCCTCCCTTGCGCTCTTGCTCTTTGCCTCCACCGTGAAAGGTTGCCCTCTGCTATGTGCCGCTCTGCCTTGGAGCCAGCTGAGTTTGGACTGAAACCTCCAGTAACTGTGAGCTAAATAAACCTTTCCTTCCTTCATTTTGAGTGTCGGGTATTTGTCCCAGCAACTCAGAGAAGAGTAACTGAGACAGATGTTTGATAGATGCTCTCACAGATGTCACAGTTACCCAGCCAGTGGCCCCACTCGCCAAGCGGAGAGTACTCGGGGTGCTCATCGGTCTGGCAGTTCGTGTTCCCCAGTAGTAACAGAGTCAGAGAGAAAAACAGGGCTAAACCTCACATTTAAGAGATCTCTGCCAACTGATGTACAAAAATGTCTGACCAGTCTTTTTCTAATTTACAAACTTCAAATGGTTGTCACATTCCAAATTCTCCTGCTAATGTCTCAATAGCTGTTCAAGAGATACCAAATCAATGGCTGTGAGATGCTGAGGTCCCTTGAGCCTGCCCTTGTCATCCTGTGGGAAGCCATTACTAACTCTTCCTGGTGAAACCTTTGTGGACTATACTCATAATCATCCTGTGATATTATTATTGGGTCCATACATACTTAATAGTTTCTTTGGCTTTGTCTCCTCCAGACCCAAAGCTATACGTCCACCCAAGAGATAATGCCTTTTGTCTATCAAGGGCCTTTAGATAGAACCTCTGGAGGGCATCTCTGATTGCTGATCAACAACTACGGGGCTGGAGAGATGGCTCAGTGGTCTAAAGCACCTACTTTGAACAAGCTTAGCAAAGCAAAGCACAGGGACCTCGGTTCAATCCCCCAGCACCACATGCCAGCCCGCCCCGCCCCCTGGTGGGCTGAGCTGGCCACACACACACACACACACACACACACAAAAAAAATAAATAAAATTTAAAAAATTAAAAAAAAAAAAAACCTACGACCCCTTTCAGCCTGAAGAAGCTAGAGCGGTCATCGTCCATGCTTCCCTCATGGCAGTTCAAGTTACTTCTTCAGCGGGGGAATGGTGCAGGAAGTCAAGTTAGATAAAAACATTATTACAGTCAGACAGGGCCGGGCCCTCGAAGGAGATAACACAGAAGACAAGATACCTTACAACTGTGTGAGGGACAGATGCTCCTACTGTGAGCCAGACCTAAAGACCAAAGATCAAACAAATGCTAACCTCCCTAAAGATTAGCATCCGGGATTGATCATCACCTTGAAAAAGCCAGGAAGAATCATTATTTGATGGCTCACAGATAAGGTCCTATTTTACATGCATGCCGACGTGCTACGACTCCCTCCCCCATGTGGTCCTGGGCTTAATCAATGTCACCTGAGCAATGGTGCTTGTAATCTCATTTGTTGACCATAGTTTTGTCCCACCTCACGTCTGCCTAAGTGAGTTACCATTTTCTCCACTTTAGCTCCACATGGGTTTATACTCTAAAAGTCCCTGGAAGAGGCACCTTCCTGAAGACCACCTGCTCGGGGCCCCCCTTCTGTCCTTCTCTCAGACAGGAGCTTTCTTTCCCTTAATATATTCTGCTTATAGCCTCCATTTGTTCCTAAAATTCATTCATCGGTTTTAGAGGACACAAACTCGTCCCAGGTACTTTTTAGGTTGGGAGATCTACTTTTCCCTACATCCTTTGGAGGTCATCCACCCAGAGATCAGTTTTTCTCCATGTCATTTGGAGGTTCCTTATATCACTGGGATGACAGGCGTGCACCATCATGCCTGGCCATGGCAAAGAATAAAGGCAGGAAGTTGAGCATCACGGGGGAATTCCAGTGTTTTTTCATCCCTGGGACTCAAACCCAGGGCTCTGGCACTGAGCTCCACTCCATCCCCAAGTTGCAATGCTTGTTTGTTCATTTGTCTGGGCAGTTCTGGGAACAGAGCCTAGGGCCTTTGCACTCAGCTGGATCCCCAACACTTTTACTTTTTAATTTTGAGACAGAATCCAATTAAGACACAAAATTGCCCAAGTCGAGCTCCAGGTTTCAGTCTGCCTGCCAAGCCATGGTTTCGAGCAGCTTAGTGACGTGCAGCACCGCTACGCAGGACAGCATTGTGCAGCATCTGACCTGCACCAGGACAGAGGCAGAAGGGGGCCCAGAAGTGAAAGGAGACGACGGGCCAGATTTCTGCAGCACTGGGAAACAAAAGCTCCAGGACTTCTGCCTCACCAGATATGCAGCAGGAGGGGGAACTTGAGTCCAGAACCTTCGTGAGGCGGGCACGTGACGCCCGGCCGAATCCCAGCACTCAGGAGGGAGACAGGAGGAGTTGGAGTTAGAGGCCAGCGTGGGCTACACAATGAGACCCTATCTCAGAAAACTAAAAAAAAAAAAAAAAAAAGACAGTGTGACCTCTGGACTGGGTGATGCCTCCTGCAGTTGTCTCTTGTCTCTGTCTCTCTCTCTCTGTGTATGTGCTTCTCTCCGTGTGTCTGTTTCTTTCTCTCTCTGTGTTTGTCTCTCTGTGTGTCTGTGTGTGTGTGTGTGTTGCTCTCTGTCCATCTCTCCAACCCACCCATTTTTCTTGCTCAGTTCCCGAACATCTGTACCTTTCTATACCTTTCTAAAGTCCAAAGTGCTCAAGTGGAGAGAAAACATATTCCCGTACTAGCACATCAGAGAAACGCTCTTCCTTACCCCTGGACAGGTATTAGAAGTTTAACAACAGAATTCCCCTGGGTGCAGGGAGCCATTCCTAGAATCCCAGCGGATGTGAGGGTGATCTGGCTGCGACATCTGTCACCCCATTGATCGCCAGGGTTGATTCGGCTGATCTGGCTGGCTAGGCGGGTGTCCCCTTCCTCCCTCAACGATCCATGTGCGTCCCTCCCAAAGCTGCGCGCTCAGTCGAAGAGGACGACCACCCCCGATAGAGGAGGACCGTTCCTCGGTCAAGGGTATACGAGTAGCTGCGCTCCCCTGCTAGAACCTCCAAACAAGCTCTCAAGGTCCTAGAATCCCAGCATTCTTACTCTGGGAGGCTGAGGCAAAAGATTCTCAGACTCAAGCCTATCTGGGAAAACTTACTGACTCAGCAAGACCTTGTCCCAAAATGCGAAATGAAGAAAGGACTGGGAGTGTGACTCGGGGAGAGCCCTGGGTCCCACCCCTAGTGCCACAGTGTGAGTAAATAAAGCAAAACAGAATGCACCCACTTCTCCCAAGCCCACTACATTTTCAGCCCAATTTTGTTCCAAAACCCAAGCCTGTCAGGTGTGGGTGAACTCATTAGTGAAGGGGTCCCTCTGGGCCATGCCAGGTGACGTCCCTTATGGCACAGCACTCCTTGGCCCCAGGCTGCATCTTATACTTTTAGGAAAGCACCCCAGCGGGCATTGCACTCTGTCGTGGTAATCTCATTTCTCAGAGTCTGTTTCTGTGACACCAGGGGTTAAACTGGGGCTTCTGCACTGAGCCA